GCCCTTTTTGGATCCCTTCGCTTGGATTCCCCGGTAGGTTTCTTCAGCCATATTTAAGGGGGGGCCCAGGAGAGTGTCTGTGCAAATTTCAAAGAAAATCGTAGGGGCCGCCCCGTTAGGCCCAAAATTTCGATTGGGTCTAGCTAAGCCCAGGTGGGCCCCATCGAAAAATGTTACTTGACTTTTTTGTTTGGGAAGTCACGCTCTTTCCAATCATATGCATATTGCCGGGGTTTGTCGAAAACATTGGGGCAAAACTTAGGAAGGGGCTCTTTGGGACCCCTTCCTACGACACATATGCGGACTCACACTGGACAGAGACCCTACGGCTGCTCCATCTGTACGGCACGGTTTACTCAACGGTCAGCCCTCAACGTGCATATGCGGACTCATACGGGAGATAAGCCGCACGGCTGCGCTACCTGCCAGGCACGGTTCGCTCGACGGTCAACTCTCATCATACACCTGCGGACCCACACAGGGGAGCGTCCACATGGCTGCTCCATCTGCACGGCACGGTTCACTCAGCAGTCCCACCTCACCAAACACCAGTGGCGTCGCCACCGATTTTTGAGTGGAGAGGCCAGAGACTTAAGGACCCAAACCTAGGATACCTTCAAGTCCTGTTTTCTCACCGGATTGAGACCACTTATTTTTCATCACAGCATTGCCACCATGAACTTTTTTTGAAAAAGAAAGAAAAAATAGGCCATCCGATCCATGTTTTACGTTAGTTTGTAACCCCCTCGCATTGCCCCACCAGACAGTAATAATCATACAAAGAAAACCGTAGTAGGTACTTGAACCCACAACACCTTTTCTGTTAGGTCCGTCATTTTGTTTCTGTCATTTCAGTCTCCCATGAATGCTTACCTAACTATTAATTGGAGTTCAAATTCGGAATTCGAAATCAATAGGAAAACCGGAGTTCAAAATCGGAGGAGTCCACTATCATCTCTGTCGGCTCTAAACCAGCCTCTGTAGTCTGTTGGCTAACTGACTACAGTTGGCTCATGGCTGTTGGTGTTGTTGGCCAGGCTTTGATAGCCCCACAAAGGCTTCTGACTAGTGATGTCAATTACGGAAAATCGTGATACCGATACCAAACCAAATACCAACAATATCAATGGGGAAATACCGAAACCAAACCGACTTGGAGTATGAGGAAAATACCAACTTTTTACCAAATTTTCAGCCTCTTTTACATTAGTGAGGATTCATAAAACCAACAAAATACCAAATGCACTCGCCTTAAAATACCAAATACCAATTTGGTATCGGTTTGGTGTCGGTATACCAAAAAGTTGGTATCCGATTGACATCTCTACTTCTGACGGAGAAGAGACTCACTGGCCTTTTTGGGCACCACACCGGTCACCGACCTCTGAGAGCTGAGAGCAGGCTTGTAAGGACCCTACAAGACCGTGCGCGATTCTCTGACGACCCCTAGTATCTGAGTTGCCAACTCTCAACTATCTAGATTATTGAGTGTCCCAGACCACCTCTGCGGGCCTTCGCCGGCTGGCGGGCGGCTTCTGTGGGCCTGATGTCGAGGGCCCGCACGCATTTTATTTGTGGGAACAATGCCGGTTTCTGATGGGTCCCCTACTTCTGAGCGTCCGGTGCCGAGCTCTGAGGGTCAATGCCAGCGTCTCATGGGCCCACGTCAGCCTCTGGTGGTCCACAGCCTGCCTGGGTGGACTGTCAAAATCTGCGCGAGGATTGCCTTTAGAAGTTAAAAAGATGATTGCAGAGATGCTGATTTTTCCCACATTTGCTACTGTATGTCTGTTTGGTGAGGTTGTGGTGCTGCGCAGCGACATCGTCTGCAAAAGACGATGTCGCCTTCACTCCTTCACTCAGAAACGTTCGTAATGTTAAACACTTTGAAGAGATATTCATTTTCAAAAAATATGAAACTCATACTTTGTCATGGACAGGTCCTAGAGTGTGGAACAATGTCATGACCTCGATCTTTCCTCACGTTCAGTCTGTGCTATTTGCCAAAACCACAATAAAAAAGCTAGTAAAAAATCATTATATAAATCAATACTGACTATTGAGCTTGATATACCTTATGCAAAGTAATCTAAGCAATGCATACCTACTTAATGCTGGTATGTCTGTGCATGGGACATGTGTATGTATGCATACGTAGTCATACGTATGTGTATGTATCTGTCTTAATGTATCTGTCTAGGTATATGTGTACGTGCATATGTAGGTGTATTTTTGCTTACTCTAAGTGTTTTGTTTATGTGCTTTTTCGTGTTCTCACCCATAAAACTGCATCAACTATATATTGTAATACTGTAAATCATTGTATGTCAGTACCTGATCACTTTTGAGTGATTAGGATAGACGTGCGCTCACCAGACACATGCGGACCCACACGGGGGAGCGGCCACACGGTTGCTCCATCTGCACGGCACGGTTCACTCAACGGCAAAACCTCACTAAACACATGCGGACCCACACGGGGGAGCGGCCGCACGGCTGCTCCATCTGCACGGCACGGTTCACTAATCGGTCATCATTTACGAGACACATTCGGACCCACACGGGGGAGCGGCCGCACGGCTGCTCTGTCTGCACGGCACGGTTCACTAATCGGTCATCATTCACGAGACACATTCGGACCCACACGGGGGAGCGGCCGTACGTCTGCTCCGTCTGCATGGCACGATTCACTGTAAGGTCACATCTGAACATACACATGCGTATGCACACTGGGGAGCGGCCGTACGGCTGCTCCATCTGCACAGCACGGTTCACTAGACGGTCACACCTCAACACACACATGCGTACCCACACTGGGGAGCGGCTTTACCGGTGCTCTGTCTGCACGGCACGGTTCGTTCAACAGTCAAACCTGACGACGCATATGCAGGCCCACACGAAGGACGGCCCACACGTATGACCGGTGTGTTGAATGGCGGGATGGAAAGCTGAGACGTGTCGACAAGTGCATGACCGGCTGCTGTTGTGTTTTAGCTGTAATTGTCGTCAGTCAGCTTGGTGGCTGCCCGTGTCACGTCTGGTCTCTTTGTGTTTACACAGGGTGAATCAGTAATTGTGTTAAAACTGGCCCCTACACATAGGAGGTAAGGAGTGTTGCTGTTTGGCATAGTGCCGTAACGCTATAATTTGCGAAGAATAGCTGGGTACGTTAAGAAATAACGTCTCTTTTTGTGGCCGCAACTCACACCGCATTCGCATCATTTCCTATGATCTGCGCAGTCTTTGTCTACAAGGGGTAGACCGAAAGTAGCTTGTGATATGTAAATCTTGCAACCCAATCCTATACCAGCGTGGCGTCTGTTACGTACGAGTAGGGGAGACCCGGGAGGTATGGGCCCCCTGGAGGTATGGGCCATCGCAGTTTTGAAGAAGTGTTGCGCATTTTTACACATTTGACCGCGTAAACTGGTAGCAGCCATTCCGCTATACAACTCACGTAATTTCCAAAATCTTCCTCAGTCTTCTTTGGCAATGAGCGGTGATAAAGTGTTTTTGCCCTCTTCGAGTAAAATGCAGTACATACAGAAAATTCGTGATAAATTTGAACCAGGCTCGTTTTTTGATGTCAGACCATCGCTAACACAAAGTTTAAAGCATGCAAATGAAGACTGGATATACAATTTGAAGCTTTCTTGCAAGATTATGAGCTGAGATGCTACGCACGTTCTGGTGTCCTAACCGGGAGATTCGGACCACCCACCCCCGTTGATCCTAAATCAATAAAATGATGCTTTCATTGAATGTCCGATTCATTAAGTTTTATTTTTGTCGCGCAAGGTCGAAAATTTTACTACAAATTACATTCGAACAGAAAAATATTATTTATCTTATTTCATGGAGCATGATTGAGCTTACCAAAATACATATGTGCTCAAGTGGCCTCCATGAAGTAAGCTGTTGGCCGTCTATGCGGTTCCTGGCCTTTAAGAGATATCAAGGTAGATACCAGCTACGAGTATTGTTCTCATTGTCGAGAAAAGAATATGAAAAATGGCACCGGCCCATACCTCCCGGGCCATGGCCCATGCCTCCCGGTGTATTTTGATGGATCGAAAAAGCGCATTATTTATTGAAAGTTATCTCGAGACAAAATAGTTGATCCCAAATGCCTAATATCAGGCACACTTTGCAGGCCAAAGGCAATTTCACGTACACAGAGTGAAAAACCGGGTCTAGCCACTGCCCACTGGAAGAAAATTGCCTTTTCACAAAACCGGACCATACCTCCCGGGTCTCCCCTACGACTTGCGAACTGTCTGTGCTTACGTCGGGGAGTCGATGCTTCTTGTCTTGTCTATACGGCAGACCATGTGCCGCCGAGGGGTCTTATAAAACTGATTGTTCGAGAAGAATGTACTGAGAACCCAGTTTTGTTCAAATATAGCTACTATGTGTGCTTTAGTATTTTGGTGTTGATCTATTTTGTACAATCACCAATTTTGCCATCTGCGAATAAATGACTCTGATCATTTTAATCTATTTTGAACTTTTACATCAGGTTTCGCACAGGTCATCGCTCGCTGTACCTATAGGCATTTCTATTTCCCCTGTTTAAATGGAAATAAGAAGGAACCTTTTGGTGGACATTCCCATTTTAGACTCAATATTCCTGAGGATGGGTGATGTCTGCCACACTTCAGTTTTTTTTTCTTTAACGTCACTGATAAATATACTCAGTGGATAAGTTGACTTCGACCCCTGTTCGTTCGCGAGTTAACAAACGGCAATAGAACAATTCCCCACGAGCTCAGTGTTCCGTTGCTGACGGCTGTATTTCGAGCGATGAACGGATCAACTCATGGGCTCTGATCGCTTGTCACGTCCACATTACCACCTACCGCGCTCACCAAGGTCACCTAGAAACGCGACCAGCTGCGTGGATCATCTCTAGGTGTCATGATCGTTCTTGTGTGTGCGCGAAACTTGCTTTGTCATTGCTCTTTTCTAATGGCCGTTCTTCCTGTCTGTGTATTCTCCAGGCATCAGTGGCTCGGTCTAATGTCCCCACTGCGACTTCAGATGTCTGGAACAGCAACGTCTGGATAGACACGTGAAGAGATGTCACGGTCACATCGGCAGGAACGGCAGATTCAAGTGCAAATGGTGTCAGTACTCGACCGACCACTCCTCCCATATAAAATACCACCGTAGGACCCACACGGGGGAGCGGCCACATCGCTGCTCCGTCTGCACGGCACGGTTCACTCGACGGTCAACGCTCACGAGACACATGCTTACCCACACTGGAGAGCGGCCGCACCGCTGTGATATCTGCACAGCGCGGTTTACTGAACAGTCAAACCTCAGCACTTACATGCGGACCCACACTGGGGAGCGGCCATACGGCTGTTCTATCTGCACGGCACGGTTCGCTCTTCGATCAAGCCTCACCAAACACATGCAAACCCACACTGGGGAGCTGCCATATGGCTGCTCCATCTGCACGGCACGGTTCGCTGAACGGACAAGCCTCACCAGACACATACGGACTCATACGGGAGAGTGGCCGTACGGTTGTTCACACTGCCATGCCCGATTCGCTGAACGGTCAAACCTCACTACACACATGAGGACCCACACGGGAGAGCGGCCGTACGGCTACTCCGTCTGCACGGCACGATTCTCTGAACGGACAAGCCTCACCAGACACATACGGACTCATACGGGGAGCGGCCGTACGGCTGCTCACACTGCCATGCCCGATTCGCTGAACGGGCAAACCTCACTACACACATGAGGACCCACACTGGGGAGCGGCCGTACGGCTGCTCCGTCTGCACGGCACGATTCGCTAAACGGTCAGATCTCACCAGACACATGCAAACCCACACTGGGGAGCGGCAGCACGGCTGCTCTATCTGCCCGGCACGGTTTAGTCGCATATCAGATCTCACCACACACCTGCGTACCCACACTAGGGAGCGGCTTTTCCGGTGCTCTGTCTGCACGGCACGTTTCGTTCAATAGTCAAACCTGACTACGCATATGCAGACCCACACGAAGGACGGCCCACACGTAACTATGACCGGTGTGTTAAATGGTTTGAATGGCGGGATGACCGGTGTGTTAAATGGTTTGAATGGCGGGATGGAAAGCTGAAACGTGTCGACAAGTGCATGAGCATGACCGGCTGCTGTTGTGTTTTAGCTGTAATTGTCGTTAGTCAGCTTGGTGGCTGCCCGTGTCACGTCTGGTCTCTTTGTGTTTACACAGGGTGAATCAGTAATTGTGTTAAAACTGGCCCCTACACATAGGAGGTAAGGAGTGTTGCTGTTTGGCATAGTGCCGTAACGCTATAATTTGCGAAGAATAGCTCGGTACGTTAAGAAATAACGTCTCTTTTTGTGGCCGCAACTCACACCGCATTCGCAGCATTTCCTATGATCTGCGCAGTCTTTGTCTACAAGGGGTAGACCGAAAGTAGCTTGTCGTGATATCTAAATCTTGCAACCCAATCCTATACCAGTGTGGCGTCTGTTACGTACGAGTACGACTTGCGAACCGTATGTGCTCCTACATCGGGGAGTCGATGCTTCTTGTCTTGTCTATACGGCAGACCATGTGCCGCCGAGGGGTCTTATAAAAATGATTGTTCGAGAAGAATGTACTGAGAACCCAGTTTTGTTCAACTATAGCTACTATGTGTGCTTTAGTATTTTGGTGTTGATCTATTTTGTACAATCATCAATTTTGCCATCTGCGAATAAATGACTCTCATCATTTTAATCTATTTTGAACTTTTACATCAGGTTTCGCACAGGTCATCGCTCGCTGTACCTATAGGCATTTCTATTTCCCCTGTTTATGTAAATGGAAATAAGAAGGTACCTTTTGGTGGACATTCCCATTTTAGACTCAATATTCCTGAGGATGGGTGATGTCTGCCACACTTCAGTTTATTTTCTTTAACGTCACTGATAAATATACTCAGTGGATAAGTTGACTTCGACCCCTGTTCGTTCGCGAGTTAACAAACGGCAATAGAACAATTCCCCCACGAGCTCAGTGTTCCGTTTCTGACGGTTGTATTTCGAGCGATGAACGGATCAACTCATGGGCTCTGATCGCTTGTCACGTCCACATGACCACCTACCGCGCTCACCAAGGTCACCTAGAAACGCGACCAGCTGCGTGGATCATCTCTAGGTGTCATGATCGTTCTTGTGTGTGCGCGAGACTTGCTTTGTCATTGCTCTTTTCTAATGGCCGTTCTTCCTGTCTGTGTATTCTCCAGGCATCAGTGGCTTGGTCCAATGTCCCCACTGCGACTTCAGATGTCTGGAACAGCAACGTCTGGATAGACACGTGAAGAGATGTCACGGTCACATCGGCAGGAACGGCAGGCACAAGTGCGAGTGGTGTCAGTACTCGACCGACCACTCCTCCCATATAAAATACCACCGTAGGACCCACACGGGGGAGCGTCCGCACGGCTGCTCGACCTGCACAGCGCGGTTTACTGAACGGTCAAACCTCAGCACTTACATGCGGACCCACACTGGAGAGCAGCCGTACGGCTGTTCCATCTGCACGGCACGGTTCGCTCTTCGATCAAGCCTCACCAAACACATGCAAACCCACACTGGGGAGCTGCCATATGGCTGCTCCATCTGCACGGCACGGTTCGCTGAACGGACAAGCCTCTTCAGACACATACGGACTCATACGGGGGAGCGGCCGCACGGTTGTTCCCACTGCCATGCCCGATTCGCTGAACGGACAAACCTCACTACACACATGAGGACCCACACTGGGGAGCGGCCGTACGGCTGCTCCGTCTGCACGGCACGATTCTCTAAACGGACAAGCCTCACCAGACACATACGGACTCATACGGGGGAGCGGCCGCACGGTTGTTCCCACTGCCATGCCCGATTCGCTGAACGGGTAAACCTCACTACACACATGAGGACCCACACTGGGGAGCGGCCGTACGGCTGCTCCGTCTGCACGGCACGATTCGCTAACCGGTCAGATCTCACCAGACACATGCAAACCCACACGGGAGAGCGGCCGTACGGCTGCTCCGTCTGCACGGCACGATTCGCTAAACGGACAAACCTCACCAGACACATACGGACTCATACGGGGGAGCGGCCGTACGGCTGCTCACACTGCCATGCCCGATTCGCTGAACGGGTAAACCTCACTACACACATGAGGACCCACACTGGGGAGCGGCCGTACGGCTGCTCCGTCTGCACGGCACGATTCGCGAAACGGTCAGATCTCACCAGACACATGCAAACCCACACGGGGAGCGGCCGTACGGCTGCTCACACTGCCATGCCCGATTCGCTGAACGGGCAAACCTCACTACACACATGAGGACCCACACTGGGGAGCGGCCGTACGGCTGCTCTATCTGCACAGCACGGCTCGCTAAACGGTCACACCTCACTACACACATGAGGACCCACACTGGGGAGCGGCCGTACGTCTGCTCCGTCTGCATGGCACGATTCACTGTAAGGTCACATCTGAACATACACATGCGTATGCACACTGGGGAGCGGCCGTACGGCTGCTCTATCTGCACAGCACGGTTCACTAGACGGTCACGCCTCAACTTACACATGCGTACCCACACTGGTGAGCGGCTTTACCGGTGCTCTGTCTGCACGGCACGTTTCGTTCAACGGTCAAACCTGACGACGCATATGCAGGCGCACACGAAGGACGGCCTACACGTATGACCGGTGTGTTAAATGGTTTGAATGGCGGGATGGAAAGCTGAGACGTGTCGACAAGTGCATGACCGGCTGCTGTTGTGTTTTAGCTGTAACTGTCGTCAGTCAGCTTGGTGGCTGCCCGTGTCACGTCTGGTCTCTTTGTGTTTACACAGGGTGAATCAGTAATTGTGTTAAAACTGACCCCTACACATAGGAGGTAAGGAGTGTTGCTGTTTGGCATAGTGCCGTAACGCTTTAATTTGCGAAGAATAGCTCGGTACGTTAAGAAATAACGTCTCTTTTTGTGGCCGCAACTCACACCGCATTCGCAGCATTTCCTATGATCTGCGCAGTCTTTGTCTACAAGGGGTAGACGGAAAGTAGCTTGTCGTGATATGTAAATCTTGCAACCCAATCCTATACCAGTGTGGCGTCTGTTACGTACGAGTACGACTTGTGAACTGTCTGTGCTTACATCGGGGAGTCGATGCTTCTTGTCTTGTCTATACGGCAGACCATGTGCCGCCGAGGGGTCTTATAAAACAGCCAACAGATCTTACAAAAAAAAACGAGGGGTCTCCGGAAAAAAAAATCGGCTCCGGCTCCGGCTCCAGGTGAAATGTCATGGCGGCTCCGGCTCCGGCTCCGAGTAAAATGGTCCGGCTCCGGCGGCTCCGGCTCCGGTTCCTACTCAGTACGTCCCCTGTGTGATTAATTAAATACGGGTGGAAGAAAAAAGGCGATTGGACTGGTGCACGCAAGGTGCACGTTGCTTCTGTATTTGCACAACAAAGCTATTTTGATAACCACATATTTTACTGCCTTGCACTGTCAAACCCAACTAGGTCAATATTTTTTTTTTCCTCTAAAAAAGAGCCGGAGTCGCCCCCTTTTTTGACGGCTCCGGCTCCGGCTTCGGCTCCGGGCTATGTTGTTTCACGGCTCCGGCTCCGGGCAAAATATGCCGGCTTGGGCCCGGCGGCTCCGGCTCTAGCTCCGGCTCCGGCTCCGCACCCCTGATGCTCAGCATGTAAGACTTCGTCTCTGGGGTAATTTTGGGCGAAATCGAGAGAACCTGGAGAATATCCATCTGGAGCGATCCAGGCTGAATCTGGGAGATCTGTTGAGTATACCAGACTTCTGAGACCGGATTCGTGCTCAGCATATCAGACTTGGTCCCTCGGCCGAATTTGGGCCCAATCGGCTGACCCCAGAATATCAATCTACAGATTGAAAACAAACTGCTGCTAAATTGACAGCAGTAGTAGATAGATAGATAGATAGATAGATAGGTTTGTATTTCAGACTAACAGTCCATTGCTATGAGTTGATGATGGATGTACCAGATGGATGATGGATGAACAACAACAAACATCGATTAAGGCACACTCCCCGTCGATGCACATTCAATGTAGCACAGCATGACAATAGAGCTTATTGAGACAAAAACGTCTCAGTTTTGATCTGAAACGGAGATCCCCTGAATTGATTGCTTCAATGATTACGGAGCGAGCGAAGCGAGCGTAGTCTTTCCTTAGATTAACGGAAATTTCTGAGTATGAGCGGCCGGCCGGCCGGCCGGCCGTGGTCACGCTTTTGCGAGGCTTATATCTCAGCAACCACTTGACCGATTTACACGCGGTAATTTTTGTAGGGTAGCTTCATTCCTTCTACCAAGTATTGGACTATTCCCGATGCATGTGGGTGACCCCTTATGCACGTGCCACGTGCAAAACGAAGAGGTGTCAGTTTTGTAATTGTTGCAATATCTCGGTAACTACTTGGCCGATTGCGCTGAAAGTTCGCATGTAGGTAGGCACCCACTAGGCACTGCATATACATGTGCCAGAGTTGGGGTGCTGCTGCACGTGCGCACGTGCAGGGGTCGTTTCCAGATCTCGGGAACGGCTGGACCGATTGCGCTCAAATTTGGTACACGGTTAGGGACCGGTTAGTAGGGTGCCGTGCACAAGTCAGTTGGGACCGATTTTGCACGTGCGCACGTGCAGGGTGCCGCTTCCAGATCTCGAGAACGGCTGGGCCGATTGTGCCCAAATTTGGCACATCGCTAGAGACCAGTTAGTAGGGTGCCGTGCACAAGTCAGTTGGAGGTACCCCCTCGCAATTTCGCACGTGCAAGGCCCACCCTCTCGCTCGCTCCGTTAGTCGCCCCAAAAGGCGTTATACTGGTGCTATTGGGGCTCTCTTCAAGTCTTCTCAGAAACTTATAAATAAGTTTCCTGAACACGCTTTCACAATTCAGCACTCTAAAATATGCACATGTCATACTCGTACTCTCAAATTTAGATAACCCGATAAGTCGTTTAAGAAGGTTGTGATAGCTCACAATGAGTCGATTCCGAACTCCGAACGAATGAGTAGTGTCCGAACTCCGAACGTCTTTATTTCTACCATGTCCGAACGCAGCCTTGTCATATGAAAATCGACATTTATGACGCAATTTTGCTGCATTACCGCGTGTCAGTTACCGGGGTTACATGAGCAAGTAAATGCGTATCAGGAACGGATTTTCCTATTCGCTCACCATTGTAGTCCGTTTGTAATGCGTATTAACTCTGCTCATGTAACCCCGAGCAGTGTGTGGGGCAGGGGGCACTGAACTCATTAATGGTGTGGCGTTGGTGTGGCGTTTCGTTCGATTGTCATTTCATTGATTGTGGGTTAATTGGGATATTATTCTTTTCTTGTGTGTTTCATTGGCTTGTAATATTTATTAGAGGCCTTTGCAGCTTTTTACTGTTCAACTGTGGCAAGAGGGGCCTTGGGCAAGAGATTGAGATAGACAGAATAGACTGGGAACCGATGCTGAAAAGGGATTGGACTTGGAGTGGTCTTGATTTCTCAAGATGGATCAGCTTGGTGAGTTGTTATATCTGCAGACAAGCATTACAGGTATTAGTAAGCCTGGCGTCCCAGCAAGATGCCAGATTGGGACAGGGGCGCGGGAACTACTTTCCGACTGGGGGGGGGGGGGGCACACCATAATAGAGATCAACCTAGGGTACCCCCAAATCTAGTTTTCTCACCGGTTTTAGGCCACTTGTTTTTCATCCCTCGGCTTTTTCAACAAAAAAGAAAACATTTGCAAAAAAAAGTGTGGTATTCCGTCTCAAAGCTGTGGGGGCACCGCCCCCACGGCCCCAGAGTTGGGGGGGCAAGCTGCCCCCACTGCCCCCCCGGCTCCCGCGCCTATGGATTGGGACGACAGAGATATATAGACCAAAACGAACCGAACCTGACCTAACCTTACCTACAACCTACAAACCTACAACGCACCCTTCAAACCTAGAAAACCTACAACCTACAATGGTATCTTGCATCTTCCTGGGACGCCAGGGTTACTTATACCGCAATACAAACTTAAGTGTAATGAAAGTTTGTAGTATGTAATGGAACTAATTTAGTGGAACAGAGTTAGTCTCACTGTTGTGGCTGTCTTCTGAACAAACAGTCCCCTTCAATTACTATTGTGCTGCTGCTATTGTGTGTTTTAAATGTTCTATAGGAAAAAAGGGTCATATTGATCTATGTTTTATCAGTTGAAATAATAACTTAAGTATGTTAGTGTGCTCAAAACTAGTAGGTAGCTTTCAAAACTATGTGAGTACCTAGCTCTTTGATAATTGGTACCTTCTTGTTGAAATCATATCATTGGAACTGATGACAGTGTCATGGATATTGGACACTATTGGAAATTACTCAATTATTTGTGATGAGAACTTAATAACTTTGTCACTTCTTGTTTCCCACCTACTCATTGTGAATCGGTATTGTCACGATGGGCGTGAACTGACGAAGGACATTGAACCTCATCCCACCAGTGTCTGAGCCACTGCCGTCCATGCAGACTGCGTCAATGACACCGGTAGAATCAAAGTGGTCTCGGGAGGGCTCTGCTGACGGCAACGAGGAATGGGGTCTGTCAGAGTGTGTGAGGCGGTCCCAGAGGCGGAGGGACTCCACTTCCATAGACAGTGGCTCCGAGGGCATCCTTGAGCCGGCTGTGAAGGAGGAGATAAAGATTGAAGTCACTTCACCAAGGGTAAGTGTACAAATTGAAAGTGTGCATCCATATTTGACATCTTTTACTGTCAGGTTGATATACATAATGCAAAAGTAAAATGTGTTCGAATAGTCTAATCAGTGGTACCTACATAAGGTTACATGTTTTCTTTAAAGGGACCCTCCCACCTTCAAAAAAGCTTATGAATTGGCATGAAAGTGATGTCGCTCGGCTCAGAAAGAGCGAAAACGAATATCTACCAAATTTCACCGAAAAACATTCACCGGTTTTCAAGATATTAGACTTTTACTTTTGTTTACTTTTTGGGATCTCTGCTGTTCCTAGCGACTTTATTTGGAAGCAATAGTTTGGCAGCTGAAAGTGCGGCACTTGTTGCGCGCAAAGCAGCATATACCACCGCGTGCTACAAAACGTTTTAGTCAAACATTTAAAAATCGTTAGATATCTGCACTGACGTCACACTTTCAGAGGGGTATTCCAATGCATTAGCACCTCTGAATCAAAATGCTGCAATTTTGAAATTTAATATTTCCGATTTAAGGCATTTCTCGATGTTGTGAGTGCCGAAACCGGTAATTGTGAGCCAGGGACCCCATTTTGGCTATCTCAACTCAAATCTAATGTTAAGGTGGGAGGGTCCCTTTAACAATGCTGTTTTTTCGGGTCCGGTCTAGGTTGAGCGGCCGTCGTCTCCCTCGGTGCCGGACGAGGATCCTTTGTCGGACCGCGCTCTGCAGTCTCTGGTGAAGGAGGAAGAGTTCCTGTGTCGGTCGCCGTCACCGTCTGAGGACTTTATCGGGTTCACTGAGGTGGACCGGGACAGGTAAGGGCTGATCCAGTGCTGTTGTTGAAATTTGAGTAGTTATTAGGCATTATAGACAATATCTCTTTGATGAATTCCCATAATTGTCGTTTTTCTTTTTTCCCCTTCAGTGCCTGCTTCAACTCGAATGTTAAAAGAAACCTGCTACTGGGTTTTTCGCTGGACAGTCAAGACTCTACACAAGGTAAGTTGGTTTTGTATAACTATTCTATTTTCATTACCTATGTGTTTGGCCTTACATGTTAAAAATGTCAGTTTTATCCTTAAATTATTGGGTCGGGTTTCTACAAAGTCATATGAGTGGTTGCCGTTGGACTGCATTCATTCTATTGATTTCACGCGTGATGTAAATGGTACCCAACATGCATTACCAGTCATTGTTTTTGTTTTTCAGTCTTTCCTGAAGGCGTGCTCCTCAAAGGTCAACGTCTTGTCATAAACTACCGGGACGTGGATGGTCTCCATGATGGTTACATATGTGAGTATTTTCTTCATTTTAGTCAGCTGCTTTTTTGGTGTCATGAGGTTACAGGTATCAGTATTACTTTTCATAGTTTGCATTACTTTCTTGTCTTCTCAAGTTGAAATTCGAAACTGCTTTTTCACGTTTGTCAATGGAAGACCGTGCAAAAAATAAACTCGTAGAATTGCAGTAAAAAAAAAAACAGACAAATGTACTGTTACCGTCTTGCAGAAATGTAAGGGATGAAACCTTACTATATTCTCGGGCAATCCGTAAATAACATTTCGCCCTGTTTTCCGACAGTCTGTGACGTGTGCTGCTGCGATTGGGACGGGGAATGTCCTGTCCATGGACCGCTGAAGGTCATACACGACGCCAAGGTGAGGGACGCGATGGTTTCGTATCCTAACCTCCACACATGCTCCTTCAGTTTGTCTTTTATTACACCGTTGCGTGCCTTCCACATTGCGACTTTGAATGTGACCAGTTAGGTGTAAAATCAGAAAATGGCAACAGTTGCACGTAGAAATTTCTTTGTAGTTATTGCTTGTGCTGCAGTCTTACTGGCATGGGTACGACAAGGTCTACAACAGGTTTATGAATTACATTTACAAGACATCCCCGTCTGATTACCAAACAGACGTACGGTCAGCCCAATTCGCGCATTATATCATTCTTGGTCGACATTGTGCATTACCTACGCTGAATATTCCAGGCACGACCCGGTATCGGAGATGCCGAAAGGGACCTCAAGACTCTGCCGCCTTCTCTCAGCTCTTGTCGGTCGAGTAATCCAGCATCTGGCACCGGTAAGTTGACAAGGCAAAACAAACGGTGGTACGTAACAACCACTGCGATGCAATAATTAGTAATGGTATTTGTATGGCTCAATTTGATGTCCCATGGATCATCAGTGCCTTGTGTGTCCATTGAGATCAAGTGAAGACGCGCATATGTTCGATTTAACGACATTCTTTATTCGATTCCAGGAGTTTTTGCGGAAAAGAATCTTTCGGTGCGCCAAAGACTTGGTCCGTACGAGGGCATCTTGACTACCGAGCAGGGTCAGGCCCGAACCACCGGGTACAGATGGCAGGTCGGTTTATCGTCTCTGTCGAATCTCTTGCCCTTATTTGGAATTGTATTTTGTTGGCTTAAGTTGTGTATGATAATATAGCTTTGGTCCCATTAATTTCACATTGGCACTTTTCCCTTCTATTACTGTGGAATTATTTAGACGATGTAATGCTATTAACCCGCGCCCCAGTGGCGGTCTCAGCCAACTTCGCCCTAGTGGGGAGAGGGGGGGGGGGCATATGTTACCACCCACCTCTAACTCAAAAACTAAGAGGGCTAGAAAGACGCGGTAAAAAGCAGTCGATAGCTCTCAATGCGTACGTTTGAAAGTATTTCGGTCATTTTTCATCTCAGAGCAATATTGGGGTCACCAGAGGTCATCAAAGGTCAAAATTTGCCAATAGTCATTATATGTTTCAGAAAACATGCCGTTATCTCAGGAACTATGGTAGCTAGAAAAACGCATGGAAAAGCAATCGATAGCTCTTGAACTCTTTTTTGATAAGGTTACTATCAACATTGGCCTCAGGTCAACGGCTTAGCCTCCAGAGGGCAAAAACTCAAAAAATAGTTGTTTTTACGAAAAGTGTTTTTCGACAATAACTTTCGACTTCAAAAAAACACGACATTTCTATTGCCAGAATCGTGTTCCTCTCGCCGAGACGCGTCGAATGAACTATAATTTGACCTTGAAAGGTCAATTTGAAAATTTGACCTCAGGTCAAGGTCATGACCTGACCGGAAAAGGTCATGTTGCATATCAGTCGATGCGTCTCAGCAAGACAAACACAATGAGGCCGTCCCCAGCGTTCTAGCTCTTTCCAATCGCGAGTTATTGGCAAAAACATGTTTGTAGCCTCAAATGACCTCGGATGACCTTTCTAGAGGCTATCAGCAAAAATGACGCCTTGGTCACAATAATTTGGGTGGTCCAAATTATTGTGATTCTGAAATATTTGTACTGTCCCTATGCGTACACATGGATCTAGAGGCATTTTCATTTTTCTCCATTGACTTGTAATGGAAAGGTCACGCCACTGACCTGACCTTAGGTCACGGATATGAAAAATCCGAGATATACCGGGCTTCTAAAAAAAAGTTAGATTTTATAACTAACGTATTGAATGGTGTATCAATGTAACAAAACATAAGTGGGTATCACCTAAAAGCCTCATCAAAGACATTTCGTTTGAGGGGATTTCTCGACCCTCGGCAGTCGCCTTTCTGAGACGCGCCGAGGTCATGTTCGAGATGATTCCCTTTTTGCTCGATGCACAGTTTAGCCCGGCGCAGCGCGACCTCTGCTGCAGCACGACGCACGGAAGGCTGCAGACGGCACACCGCTGACTTCACTGCATCCTTATGATCTTCGGAACTTTTTGGGTGGTTTCGGTACACCTGGGACTTGAGGTGGTCCTATAGGAAAAAGTCCGGTGGGGTTACGTTCGGAGAATTCGCCGACCACGGGCGTGTCTCGAACCTCGGGATCACGCGCTGCCCGAAGCGCTCCCACAGCCCCTTCCGGTTTTCTTTAGCGGTATTGGCGTGGCACCGTCTTGCTGGAACCATTGGATTTTAAGCGTTTCCGGATCTCCGCTCATCCTGATATTGCAGAACCCTCCAAAACGTCGCCAGAGCCACCCGATATCGCTGACCATTGACAGTCTGAGTAGCGCATCTCTCACACGAGTGGTGTGCGCCGTGAGCCTTTGATTGGGTTTATGGCCGCCGCTGTGTTCCTTGAATTGCGTGAACCTGTTGTTAGCACTTCCTCGAGCCAGAAAGTTGTCAACAATGTTGAAAATTTTGTAATCAAGATGTTGCTCTCTTTGCCCTAAAGTGTTTGAGGATCTTCCGTGGTGTCGAACCGACCGACTTAGTCTTGGAAAGCATAATTTCACGAGTTTTGCTTTTACTTCCTAAGACCACGGCTTCATTTTTTAAGCTCAAACCATGGTGTCATATAAATCTACGAACAATTCTCCGTTTTTCAACGTGCATTGATTTTGCTTAAATGTTGTTAGGGGTCCGCTATCCGAAAAAGAAATCCGTCTAACTTTTTTGAGAAGCCCGGTACAAATTGTAGGCGCCCATAACAGCATGCAATCCACCAAGTTTAAAACCTTTCTGACAAACACTGCAGGCTGGACATGATTGCAAACTTTTTTAGGCTTGGTCAGTTAACTTGACCTGGTGACCTGACCTGACATGACCTGGGGTCAAAAATTTCACACATTGTCCAAAATTGATGTACAAAAGCTACCCCAAGCGGCGCGGCGCTACGCGCCGCGGTTTTTTATTTACACGCAAAAAACGCGACAGGGTGGTAACATATGCCCCCCCCCCCACTGGGGCGAAGGTTAAGAACATTTCAGACCAATGTTAGAGTGGTAGAAAGTTGACAATGTTCCCAAAGCATATGTTATATTTTTGTTTCGTTCCTAGGATTGACTTGATATTTTTTATCTTACTTCAGATCAAGAAAGGTCACCTTGTGCATCACTCGGTGAATGCCGAGGACCCGAGCTTCAGCAACTGGCTCAGAAGGGTCAACTGTGCCCGCTCGGAGGAAGAACAAAACCTAGTGGCCTTCCAGTACCGGGGGCAGATATACTTCAGGTGTGTTGTAGTTTTACATTCCACGGATTTGTCCTACCCAACTGCGTTTCAAATTTTGTACGCGGTCTGCCTTGTGGTATTATAGGTGCTTTTTACCTCTTAATGACTATGTAGTTCTGCAAGGACTGAAAACATGATTGTTTTGCATGACCTCTTTCCTAAATTAAACTTTTACATTGATGCATTCTTGCTTAAGATGAATTTTCGGCCATGGGCCATGAACATCAGTGCAAAATATACAAATCTAGACATTTCAATATTTTAACAATATACCTAAGTCGAAATTTCATCTAATTTGTTTCAATTTACAATTTGTTTTAATTTGTTTTAATAATACATTTTGTTTTAAAACAAAATACATCAATGTAAAAGGTTTAATTTTGTAAGAGGGTCATTCAAAACAATCAATTGAATAAAGTTCCCTGCATTAAAGGGACTGTCCCACCTTCTGAGCATTAGTTCTGAGTTGAGATAGCCACGTTGGCGGCCAGGTGCAGAAACCACTAAATATCCTGGTCGCAATATCCTCAGTTTCGTGGTGTTAAAGAAATTCGTTCCCTTCATTTGAAAAGTGGGCCTTAGCTAAGGCCCTATCTCTTAACTATTAACGGCCATTTGATGACGTCATTACTCATTTGCCTTTTGAACGCCTGTCACACATTCAAGTGAAGTATCACTTGATTTACGAATAAGCCAATCAGAGACACTCTTGTTATTGTATGAGCCGCGTCATATTTGAGAGCAAATATATTTGCTGCCAAATTTCCCCTCACATTAACCTGAAGTAAATCCTTCATTACGTCACAGATTCGATATAAATGACGTCATGATGAAATATGAAAGTCGCAATATCTCAAAAAGTATACGATGAAAACGCGTAAAAACTTGCAGATTTCGTCAAAATATCATGAGTAACATTTCCGAATCCTAAACGGTACTTTTTTGAAGGTGGGATAGTCCCTTTAAGCAAGGTTTAACTATTCAAAGTGAATTGTCATGCATTTATCAATTATTATATATTTATCGACCTATGCAGGACGTCAAAGCCCGTTCCGAGGGGCTCAGAGCTTCTGGTGTACTACGGAGACGACTCGGCCCGGGAGCTGACCGTCCACTCGGAGACGTCTGGGGAGGCTGCGACTTCCTCTCCGGCCGGACCGTCATCCTTAGGTCAGTACATTGTTTTCGGTTCCGAGGGCTATGGTGTCCATCGAAGGGACCCTGATAATTTCGCCAACCTTTCGAACGATAGTAGACTGTTTTCTTGTTCTTTTCGTTCATTTGAAGGTTAAATGAAAGTACCAGATTACATGGTTTGGTTCGTTGAACGTACATTTAAGCTTCAGATTTAACCTTTGCGTTTGTAGGGGGTGAGATGGACTGCGTCGAGTTTTGATCAATTGTTCCCGATGAAGAACATCATTTTATGGAAACGTTCAGTGCCATTTTCAACATACATGTAAGATTTGTTTATTTATTTATTTATTTATTTATTTATTTCACATCTCGAACATATCCATTATGTAATGCAGTGGTCGGCAAGTCCTCCGGGGTCGTGCCCCCTTTTTTGGCGCCAGGCAGCGCCATTACCCCCACCTGCCAGACCCCATTGGTGATATAACCAAGGTTACTGAAATTTCATACTTTTCCGCGACTCTTTGGGTACCATATCTGCGAGAAACCACAGCCCCCCCCCCCCTGCGGTTTCTCGCAAATATCTCAAAAACGTTGAGCGCCACCATTTTGTCACATTTTGTCATACATCTTTTTCTGCACATGTTGTGAAAATTTCAGACCAAAGTCGCTCAAAGTCAGGTCACCAAATCATGTCAAGTCAAGTGACCTCACCTCAGTAAAGACTGTAACGCCTGTTGTAACTACACAGAGTGACAGATCTCTTTCAAACTTTCAGGAATTGATAAAGGCAACAGCATGTACAAAATTTGTATCTCAGAGATTTAATGTCGGTGACCATGAAAGGTCAGCTCACTTTCACGCCCTCTCTCGTTATCAATGGGAGAGGTCGCAAAGTCAATGGTAGAAATTGAAAGACGCCTCTTTTGGACGAGTGTCATTCCTAACACTGTGAAGCACTGAATCACAAGTAAACATGACCACTCATGAACCGGAAAACTGCACCCGTGACCCCGCTGTATGTCCCTGAGGTCTTTTCAGGTCGTGAACGGTATCTAATAGTTTTCGCTAATAACTTTTGATAAAGGCATGCCAGAGCGATGAAAATGCCTTAGATGTAAATGCCTTGACGACACGGATCACCTGATGTGCAACAAGACCTTCGATGCTTCTCGACGGGAGGAGCACGATGCTGATAAAAGTGAGCTCTTGCAAGTTCTGAGTGTAACGCTATTGAAGAAAAACTATCAGCAAACAATGTACATTTTATCAGCAAACTACGTACATTCTAGCAGTTTTTGTCTCCTGCAGGCTAAATCGTTATTCTTAGGTTAAATCTGAGGGCGTCATCAGAAAGAACGTTAAGAGAGCTATCGAATGCGTTTTTCCACAGCGCTGTAGCTCTATCCTTTCTTGAGCTATAGGCCAGTTTGTCGAAAATTGTCAAAGGTTGACCTGGAAATTGGCGAATTTTACGTTCGATGACCTCTGGTGAGATGACCTTTGGCTTGACCTAAAAAGTGACCATAGTTTTCCTTCATCATTTCTTATACCCGACTACGGCGTTTCGCTAGTGGCCCAGGAGCCAAGTTAGTAGGGGGTGTTCAACCTCCACCTCCAGCAGGGCGTGGATACCCAGGAGCCCCATCGGGGCGCGGGTTAACCCCCATACGCATAGGGGTAGCGGGTATTTTTCGGGAATAGATCACGTTAAAAGGGTCGGATCACGAAAAACTGTACCCTCGAGCCGATCATTTTTATCTGTCCTGAATATGGCATGACCTTAACCCGAATAACCGTTGATTTGTAAGATCTTCTTGAGATCATGGCAGGCCACATAATCTCACTTCAAGAAGTTACAGCAAGAGCCGATTTACTCGGGACCTGTCATTGACCTCTGGAAGGTCACCAAATGACCAAGGACCTTTAAATTGGGTAGCAGCGGCTGCCTATCTTCACGGGCAGCACGCTCAATTTTTCTGCAAAGCTCCAGCTCAGAGGCCGAGATGCTCGGGTCAGGGTGCAATGGACAACTCCTCTTCCTTGCGTTAGTGACTGTGAAAACGCCAATAGGAGAGCGCCGGTTAATACATGACAGTTACTTTTGGGCGACTGTACGGAATGGTGAGCAGCTATGTACATGAAAATTGGCATGCGCCAGCTAATCAGTTCATGCTTTGTGCGTTTGCCCTCGACTAATCTTTGAATCCTTGGGCACAACAGTTGCGATGTCTGTCCCATCAAGGGAGCCATTAATTCTAAAAAAAAGATGAGGTTTTCTCAGAGGCCCTCATTACCCCCGCCGAAGGGCGCCATTACCCCCAAAGGGGGCATGCCCCACCATTTGCCGACCCCTGATGTAATGGCTATTACATGTTCTTGTCAATTGATGAGAAAGAAAAGAAGAATACGAGGTTAAAGCGGGATAAAAACTTTAACGCACACATCACACTCGAGGTCATACACCTGAAATTCTGATGCTAATTGCTTACCGAGTCGGGACATCAGGCATTCCATGCGATGGTATTAGTACCTGCACAATAATCTGGTGATGATCCCACTCAAACTAAAAATACCGACGGGAAAAGCAACCGGTCCACCGGCTGACGCTCACGCCAGGGCAGCTGCGCTGGTCGGAGGAAGACTGGGGAGGGTGGTCTGGTCGGATGTCTCGCCGTCTGATCTATATCATTCTCTGAACCGTCCAAATGGCCGTTTGTGGGCCAGCAGGTCCAACGTTCCGGCCGATACTAGCGTCAAATATCCGATGAAGATTCAAGTCTAGAGCTTGTACATCTACTTTTGGATGTCTCAGCTGCCTTTGAAGTCGGGGAAAAGCACCAATAACGGCGACTTATTAGTTATTATGGAGTAACGTCCTGCGGTACGGATTTTCGGAGGCGCCCGGCCGCACTGCAGAAGAGGGCTCTGTCTGTTAAGGCGCCCTGATGCCTGGTCCAAGCCAGGTGGTCTTCACGGATAAATTTTATGCCACCTCACAGTGCCAAGAAGGTCCAGGGGCGATGTCGGGTGAACCTCCGATCCTTCTGGACCAGAGGAATTTGACCTGAGACTAGGTCTGACTGATCCCAGTCGGACTGAAACCTTGTGAACTATGTCCACCAGGAGGTGAATGAGAAGACAACCGTCACCACTCACCACCGCCGTCACGACCCAACGGCGGCACAGGTCGAGACAGCGTCGGTTTGCATCAAGCCCATGGAACTGGAAAATCTACATAGTGGCTAGAGTGCCATAGCGCATGCGTACTTGTGAAGGGTGACAACATATTTGTCCAAAATGAGCATTTTTCTTTTTTCAAATCCAGTGAAATACATTTATCCGGATATTTTTACATTGTTCACCTCAGTACAGCAACAACATACATAAACACAAAATACACAACAGCGTTGACCTGATCAAACCTAGGATAGCTTCAATATGGGAAAGGCTAACTTCTCAAACACGCAACACGCGCTAAAAATGGTTTCTTGCTGTTCCACGAAAATGTTTAACGTAATTGAACACGAGTAATTTTGCATGAACGCACACAAACTTGCGTTTGAGCTTCGCCCTGGTATGAGTTTCTGCTATCTTCGGTATGTTTGTTACACTTTTTGTCCCTACCCGACAAACCAGCAGCTAAGAAAGCTAGAAGAGCAAGGTTGGGCAAAAGGAAATTGCAAGGTCTCTTTTATAGGTCCAGAGCAGGCTTTGTATTTTGAATTTTGAGTGCAGTCATTTCACCCGAATGTACTTGACCACATGCATTTTCGACCCTTTCAATCTGTAAATGTGTTTCACAGGTATTGGTGGTGCACTTCAGTGTCCCCACTGCGACTTCAGATGTCTCGGAAAACATCGTCTGGACAGACACGTGAGAAGATGTCACATCGCCAGAAACGGCAGATTTAAGTGCGAGTGGTGCGAGTACTCGACCGACCACTTCAGAGATATGAGACGCCATCGTAGGACTCACACTGGAGAGCGGCCATTCGGTTGCTCCATTTGCACGGCACGGTTCACTCAACGGTCAAACCTCACGACACATATGCGGACCCACACCGGGGAGCGGCCGTACGACTGCTCCGTCTGTGCGGCACGCTTTGCTCATCGGTCAGCTCTCACCAGACACATGAAAACCCACACGGCCACGATGGAGCGGCTGTTTGGCTGCTCCATTTGCCAGGCACGGTTTGCTGAACAGCAGAGTTTAAACGCACATTTTAGGACCCACACGGGAGAGCGACCATACGGCTGCTCCATCTGTACGGCACGGTTCACTCGACGATCACACCTCAACTCACATATGCTTACCCACACTGGGGAGCGGCCGTACGGCTGCTCCGTCTGCATGGCACGATTCACTCGAAGGTCACATCTGAACATACACATGCGTATGCACACTGGTGAGCGGCCGTACGGCTGCTCCATCTGCACAGCACGGTTCACTAGACGGTCACACCTCAACACACACATGCGTACCCACACTGGGGAGCGGCTTTACCGGTGCTCTGTCTGCACGGCACGGTTCGTTCAACAGTCAAACCTGACGACGCATATGCAGGCCCACACGAAGGACGGCCCACACGTATCACCGGTGTGTTAAATGGTTTGAATGGCGGGATGGAAAGCTGAGACGTGTCGACAAGTGCATGACCGGCTGCTGTTGTGTTTTAGCTGTAATTGTCGTCAGTCAGCTTGGTGGCTGCCCGTGTCACGTCTGGTCTCTTTGTGTTTACACAGGGTGAATCAGTAATTGTGTTAAAACTGGCCCCTACACATAGGAGGTAAGGAGTGTTGCTGTTTGGCATAGTGCCGTAACGCTATAATTTGCGAAGAATAGCTGGGTACGTTAAGAAATAACGTCTCTTTTTGTGGCCGCAACTCACACCGCATTCGCATCATTTCCTATGATCTGCGCAGTCTTTGTCTACAAGGGGTAGACCGAAAGTAGCTTGTGATATGTAAATCTTGCAACCCAATCCTATACCAGCGTGGCGTCTGTTACGTACGAGTAGGGGAGACCCGGGAGGTATGGGCCCCCTGGAGGTATGGGCCATCGCAGTTTTGAAGAAGTGTTGCGCATTTTTACACATTTGACCGCGTAAACTGGTAGCAGCCATTCCGCTATACAACTCACGTAATTTCCAAAATCTTCCTCAGTCTTCTTTGGCAATGAGCGGTGATAAAGTGTTTTTGCCCTCTTCGAGTAAAATGCAGTACATACAGAAAATTCGTGATAAATTTGAACCAGGCTCGTTTTTTGGTGTCAGACCATCGCTAACACAAAGTTTAAAGCATGCAAATGAAGACTGGATATACAATTTGAAGCTTTCTTGCAAGATTATGAGCTGAGATGCTACGCACGTTCTGGTGTCCTAACCGGGAGATTCGGACCACCCACCCCCGTTGATCCTAAATCAATAAAATGATGCTTTCATTGAATGTCCGATTCAATAAGTTTTATTTTTGTCGCGCAAGGTCGAAAATTTAACTACAAATTACATTCGAACAGAAAAATATTATTTATCTTATTTCATGGAGCATGATTGAGCTTACCAAAATACATATGTGCCCAAGTGGCCTCCATGAAGTAAGCTGTTGGCCGTCTATGCGGTTCCTGGCCTTTAAGAGATATCAAGGTAGATACCAGCTACGAGTATTGTTCTCATTGTCGAGAAAAGAATATGAAAAATGGCACCGGCCCATAACTCCCGGGCCATGGCCCATGCCTCCCGGTGTATTTTGATGGATCGAAAAAGCGCATTATTTATTGAAAGTTATCTCGAGACAAAATAGTTGATCCCAAATGCCTAATATCAGGCACACTTTGCAGGCCAAAGGCAATTTCACGCCTACACAGAGTGAAAAACCGGGTCTAGCCACTGCCCACTGGAAGAAAATTGCCTTTTCACAAAACCGGCCCATACCTCCCGGGTCTCCCCTACGACTTGCGAACTGTCTGTGCTTACGTCGGGGAGTCGATGCTTCTTGTCTTGTCTATACGGCAGACCATGTGCCGCCGAGGGGTCTTATAAAACTGATTGTTCGAGAAGAATGTACTGAGAACCCAGTTTTGTTCAAATATAGCTACTATGTGTGCTTTAGTATTTTGGTGTTGATCTATTTTGTACAATCACCAATTTTGCCATCTGCGAATAAATGACTCTGATCATTTTAATCTATTTTGAACTTTTACATCAGGTTTCGCACAGGTCATCGCTCGCTGTACCTATAGGCATTTCTATTTCCCCTGTTTAAATGGAAATAAGAAGGAACCTTTTGGTGGACATTCCCATTTTAGACTCAATATTCCTGAGGATGGGTGATGTCTGCCACACTTCAGTTTTTTTTTCTTTAACGTCACTGATAAATATACTCAGTGGATAAGTTGACTTCGACCCCTGTTCGTTCGCGAGTTAACAAACGGCAATAGAACAATTCCCCACGAGCTCAGTGTTCCGTTGCTGACGGCTGTATTTCGAGCGATGAACGGATCAACTCATGGGCTCTGATCGCTTGTCACTTCCACATTACCACCTACCGCGCTCACCAAGGTCACCTAGAAACGCGACCAGCTGCGTGGATCATCTCTAGGTGTCATGATCGTTCTTGTGTGTGCGCGAAACTTGCTTTGTCATTGCTCTTTTCTAATGGCCGTTCTTCCTGTCTGTGTATTCTCCAGGCATCAGTGGCTCGGTCCAATGTCCCCACTGCGACTTCAGATGTCTGGAACAGCAACGTCTGGATAGACACGTGAAGAGATGTCACGGTCACATCGGCAGGAACGGCAGATTCAAGTGCAAATGGTGTCAGTACTCGACCGACCACTCCTCCCATATAAAATACCACCGTAGGACCCACACGGGGGAGCGGCCACATCGCTGCTCCGTCTGCACGGCACGGTTCACTCGACGGTCAACGCTCACGAGACACATGCTTACCCACACTGGAGAGCGGCCGCACCGCTGTGATATCTGCACAGCGCGGTTTACTGAACAGTCAAACCTCAGCACTTACATGCGGACCCACACTGGGGAGCGGCCATACGGCTGTTCTATCTGCACGGCACGGTTCGCTCTTCGATCAAGCCTCACCAAACACATGCAAACCCACACTGGGGAGCTGCCATATGGCTGCTCCATCTGCACGGCACGGTTCGCTGAACGGACAAGCCTCACCAGACACATACGGACTCATACGGGAGAGCGGCCGTACGGTTGTTCACACTGCCATGCCCGATTCGCTGAACGGTCAAACCTCACTACACACATGAGGACCCACACGGGAGAGCGGCCGTACGGCTGCTCCGTCTGCACGGCACGATTCTCTGAACGGACAAGCCTCACCAGACACATACGGACTCATACGGGGGAGCGGCCGTACGGCTGCTCACACTGCCATGCCCGATTCGCTGAACGGGCAAACCTCACTACACACATGAGGACCCACACTGGGGAGCGGCCGTACGGCTGCTCCGTCTGCACGGCACGATTCGCTAAACGGTCAGATCTCACCAGACACATGCAAACCCACACTGGGGAGCGGCAGCACGGCTGCTCTATCTGCCCGGCACGGTTTAGTCGCATATCAGATCTCACCACACACCTGCGTACCCACACTAGGGAGCGGCTTTTCCGGTGCTCTGTCTGCACGGCACGTTTCGTTCAATAGTCAAACCTGACGACGCATATGCAGACCCACACGAAGGACGGCCCACACGTAACTATGACCGGTGTGTTAAATGGTTTGAATGGCGGGATGGAAAGCTGAGACGTGTCGACAAGTGCATGACCGGCTGCTGTTGTGTTTTAGCTGTAATTGTCGTCAGTTAGCTTGGTGGCTGCCCGTGTCACGTCTGGTCTCTTTGTGTTTACACAGGGTGAATCAGTAATTGTGTTAAAACTGGCCCCTACACATAGGAGGTAAGGAGTGTTGCTGTTTGGCATAGTGCCGTAACGCTATAATTTGCGAAGAATAGCTGGGTACGTTAAGAAATAACGTCTCTTTTTGTGGCCGCAACTCACACCGCATTCGCAGCATTTCCTATGATCTGCGCAGTCTTTGTCTACAAGGGGTAGGTAGACGGAAAGTAGCTTGTCGTGATATCTAAATCTTGCAACCCAATCCTATACCAGCGTGGCGTCTGTTACGTACGAGTACGACTTGCGAACTGTCTGTGCTTACATCGGGGAGTCGATGCTTCTTGTCTTGTCTATACGGCAGACCATGTGCCGCCGAGGGGTCTTATAAAACAAGTCTTACAAAAAACGAGGGGTCTTCGGAAAAAAATCGGCTCCGGCTCCGGCTCGGGGTGAAATGTCATGGCGGCTCCGGCTCCGGCTCCGGCTCCGAGTAAAATGGTCCGGCTCCGGCTCCGGCTCCTACTCAGCACATCCCCTGTGTGATTAATTAAACACGGGTGGAAGAAAAAAGGCGATTGGACTGGTGCACGTTGCTTCTGTATTTGCTTAACAAGGCTACTTTGATAACCACATATTTTACTGCCTTGCACTGTCAAACCCAACTAGGTCAATATTTTTTTCCCTCTAAAAAAGAGCCGGAGTCGGCCCCTTTTTTGACGGCTCCGGCTTTGGCTCCGGGCTATGTTGTTTCACGGCTCCGGCTCTGGGCAAAATATGCCGGCGTGGGCCCGGCGGCTCCGGCTGTAGCTCCGGCTCCGGCTCCGCACCCCTGATGCTCAGCATGTCATGCTTCGTCTCTGGGGTAATTTTGGGCGAAATCGAGAGACCCCGGAGAATATCCATCTGGAGCGATCCAGGCTGAATCTGGGAGATCTGTTGAGAATACCAGACTTCTGAGACCGGATTCGTGCTCAGCATGTCAGACTGGTCCCTGGGCATAGGCGTCGATTTGTATACTTTTGGGTGTGCCCGGGCACCCCCAATGCTGAGTTGGGCACCCCCCAAGGGGCTCTGGGCACCCACAACCGAAGTTGGTACAGTCATCATTCTTCACTGTTACCAGGGGCGTCGCCGACGGGGGGTCGCGGGGGTCGCGACCCCCCCCCCACACTCTTGAGAACCGGGGGGTCGACCCCCCACTTTTGGCGATGCTGAGTATGCTTTTTTGACCCATCGGCCATCATGTCAGTGAAGTTGGCGTCCGCAATATCAACAAATACGTGAGATTCAGAATAGCTTCAAGAGCTCCCTAGTCCCCATATTGCTTATAGGTCAATAAGCTGTGGGCGTGGAACACCAGCATGACAATATTTTTTAAGTAGCCATTATTCTAGTCCCTTTTTATCCCTCAAAGCAGTGGGCGCGCCAAAACTGACCCAAGCGTTCGTCTGATTGTCAAAGTAATGGTTGCAGTCGATTCGTCGGATGACGGATCAGTAACTACGAGGTACCTAACTAGCCTCAGCCCTGGCTACCCTCGGACCTGCCTGCATAGGGGGAATGGGGTCAGATGGTGGGCCCCTCTCGAGCTTTCCCAATAAGACACGCAAAAAGGAGCCTATTGCATCGAAACTTCCAGTGACCTCGAGTTAATCAATTTTAGACCTACTCTAAAAACATTATTGACCCTGATTTGAATATAGATGACCTTGGTTTACTTTTTCAAGTGTTATTTGCTTTTACTTACAACTGTAGTTTTTGGAGCTTATTTCGAGTTTAGCGCCCGTTTGAACATAAGAAGTAGTTTTGATAAATGGTGGACGGTGGTTCAATCTAGATGTTATGTTACGAAGCTATCGGTGGTGGTTGTCACTCACTTTAGATGGCCGGCAGGAAGCCTGCTGGTCGACCTGACCCGACATGATCTACCCCAAATGCATGGAGTCATCATCTTTGTTCAAAACTAACATCGAACTCGTACTCGGGTACCCGATAACAGCTACGGCTCACACAGTTCTAGCGGGTCCCGATTTTCCCTACTTTTGGGCGTTGACCTAAGATGACCCGGCCAAGACCTTGAAATTGGGCATTATCGGCTTTCTCTCGTCACGGGCAGCATCCTCCCTTTTCCGCGAAGCTCTACCTCGATCAGGGGCCGAAAGCATACATTGGCGTTACGTTGGTAAACGTTTTACCTTAGCGACCCGTAAAACACGAATAAGAGCTACGGCGACACAGAAAGCGTAGGTATTCCATAGCTTTTTAAAGCTCTTTCACCAACTTCGCCTCAGATTTGACTTCGGGTCTATGACTTGTGTAGGGCCAAACAGCTAAACGGACGGATTTTGCCGAAACATTTGTTCTGTAACAACCTACGGTTCAGTGAATGTGTATGATATTCATGTTATTCACCACAGTGGCGGATCCAGGGGGGGGGGGCTGCGGGGGCTGGCAGCCCCCACCCAAGGAAAACTGGCGCCACTGCGCCGAAGGCGCAGTGGCGCCAATTTTCAATTCGCAACTCATCGGAGTGCCGCATACTAGGACTAGGATGCAAAAATCAGTCGAATAACGTCGTTTCAGTACGCTCCGCACCGATATTTCCAATCGTGTGGTGTCACTGTACATACTGATCCTGGGCGCCTCTTGTCAGGGCCACAAGACATGGCGCCCATCCGGGGCGTGGCGCCCAATTATGACCTGCAGCCCCTCCCCAGTGAAAATCCTGGATCCGCCACTGATTCACCATCGTGTTTGTTTCGTCGAAGACGACGCATGGCTTACAATTTGAACTTAAAATCAACCAGAAAACTTGACATCAGACGTAAATGTCATGGCCTGACCGGAAAAGAACCTGCTGTACCTACCTACCTATATGGCTCGATCTGTGTTGCTGAGCTGAACACACTCCAGGTGCTGTCATCGCTCTACAGCGTCTCCATCAAAAGTTGTTGTCGAAAATGTGTCAGAGACCTTTGATGACCTAATGACTGCCCTTTCGAGTCACCACTGGTCATTGGCTGCACCCTGTCCCTGAAATCAAAATGAGCAGAGGTGCCATGGCTACAAAAGTACCTAGCGTTTTTAGCATATTCGTTCAAAGCAGAGGGCATTCGTGCTTTTTCCCATATCTTATCATGATGATTGGTGAGGTCACATATTTGACCTGACTTCACTTCTCAGGTGTAAAATCCCAGATTCATGAACTGTTGGCACTTATAATCCCATTCATTGAACCAAATTTCAGACTTATAGGAGATAATCTATAGGAATGACAAGATTGCAGTTTTTAGAGGTATCAAAACTGAGCTTGACATGACATTGTGACCTGACCTCAGGTGACCTGTGCTTGATTTTTATGCACGATGCAAAAGTGATGTACATAAGATGTAGTTACCGCTGTTTTCGTGGCGCTGCGCGCCAAGGGCAAGGTTTTTCTCAACACACGGAAAAACGGGAGTGTGGCTAAAACACTCCTACCCATCAAGGCGAAGACCGGTCACCCGACCCCCCCCCCCCCCCCACTCAAAAATCCGTGGCGACGCCCCTGACTGTTACGATTATTTCAACGCATTGTTTTCTCTAATTCATAGGCGCGGGAACGGGGAGGGGGGCAGTGGGAACAGTTTGCCCCCCCCCCCCCCCAACTCTGGGGCCGTGGGGGCGGTGCCCCCAAGACGGGATATCGCACTTCTTTGCAAATGTTTTCTTTTTTGATGAAAACGCCAAGGGATGAAAAATAAGTGGCCTAAAACCGGCGAGAAAACTAGGTTTGGGGGCATAGGCGGCGGAACGGGGAGGGCACCGGGGCACCGTGCCCCCCTTTGATTTTGACATTTTAACATTAGCCCTATGGGCGTTGCATGGAAAGAATGGGACCAAAAGTCGGCAGTGCCTCCCCCCCCCCCGCCTTGAAGGTGTTCCGCCGCTACTGTCTGGGGGTACC